CTGTTTAAAAAAAATATTGAAGGCATTGCTGAATGATGGTCTTTTGTATCTATTTTTAGACTAATTTACTGAGATTTCTGCATTTGGAGGGGGATGGGTGAGTGTGCATATTGACCCAGGAACAAACACAAGATAAAAAGTTTCTTAATTGAAATACTTTCTCTTTGAAATTTAGTCACTGGTGAATTTTCATAATATTACAATTCTTTATATGACTGTATTGACCTTTTTAGGCTCCAGAAGAAAATAAAGGAATGGGGATTATGGTGTTCAGGAGGAGATCTTGATCACAGAGTGGTTGAAGTTGGAAGGGACCTCTGGGGGTTACCTGAACTGACCTGCTCAAGTGGGGTCACCTAGAGCCAATTGTCCAGTACTGTGTCCAGATGACTTTTGAATGTCAAAAGTCATCCTCCAAGGATGGAGGCTTCACAACCTTTCTGGGTAACCTGTGCCAGTGCTCAGTCACCCTCTCAGTAAAAAAGTGTTTCCTGATGTTCAGACAGCACCTCCCGTGTTTCAGTTTGTATCCATTTTCTCTGGTCCTGTCACTGGGCACCACTGAAAAGAGCCTGTCTCTGTCTTCTTTGCACCCTCCCTTCAGGTATTTATATACATTGATGAGATCCCCCTTGAGCCTTCTATTCTCCAGGCTGAAAAAGTCCCAGCTCTCTCAAACCTTTCCTCATAGGAGAGATGCTCCAGTCCCTTTATCATCTTTGTGGCCCTTCATTGGACTAACTCCAGTATGTCCATGGGTCTCGTGTACTGGGGAGCTCAGAACTGGGCACACTACTCCAGGTATGACCTCATCAGTGGGGGAGAAGGATCCTCTCCCTTAGCCTGCTGGCAGTATTTTGCCTAATGCAGGCCAGGATACCATTAGTCCTCTTTCCTGCAAGGGCACATTGCTGGCTCATGTTCAATCAATCTGGTGTCCACCAGGACCCTCAGGTGCTTTTCTACCAAGCTGCTTTCCAGCTGGGTGGCCCCCAGTATGTACTGTGCCTGGGGTTGTTCCTCTCCCCCTTGTTGAACTGCATGAGTTTCCTACCAGCCCACTTCTCCAGCCTGCTGAGGTCCCTCTGGGCAGTAGCATGACCCTCTGGCGTATCAGCCACTCCTCCCAGTTTTGTGTCATCTGCAAACTTGCTGAGGGTGCACTCTGCCTTATCATCCAGGTCATTAATGAAGATGTTGGGCAGGATTGGACCCAGTATTTTCCGCTGGTGTACACTGGTAGTTACTGGCCTCCAATTAGACTTTGTGCTCATCGCCACCTACTGGGCCTGGCCATTTAGCCAGTTTTCAATCTACCTCACTGCACATTCAGCCTGTACATCCACAGCTTTTCTATGAGGATCTTATGGGAGACAGTCTTCCATAAGATCCTTATTATGGGTCCCTCATTATTTCTCTTATGCTGGGTGCTTTTACCATCTTGGAGAGTCCATGCTTAAGCTTTGCTACACTTCACATGCTGAGACATTCCTGGCATCTGAGACTTGGGATCTTCACAAGAAGACAAACCTGTTTCTGCACAACTTTGAATGTGTGCCTATTGAATGGCATTTGATTATAAAGTTTTTTCACTAGACAATTTCTCCAGTTTGTCAATGGAGTTCTGACTTCTTAGTATGCTCCCTGGCCATTGCATCCTGGCAGCACCTCTGGACTTAATCAACATATTCCTTATTCCGTTATCGAAATTTTTAAAATCGTCTGTTAGAGCCAGATGGAGGAAAGACCCAGTCCAGAACATATCTTTACATTTTTCATAATGAGCTAGACTCTTAAGAGTAGTTTTCCAGCTGTTATTTGTATCCATTCTGTAATAACTTCATGCAGCCCATATTTCTTCTGGTGTATTTCACACTGTCTCCAGTGGTATTCCCATGCCTTCGTGAAATCAAGGTATAGGATGTTTACAAGGTCTGCTTTCATCAGGAAGGCCTGGTTTGTTTTTTTTTTTCTATCCAAGTCACAAATTATACTCTGTTTGATATAAATAGCTAAAACATGTCTTTGGCAAACAAATAATCATAAGCTTTTATGTTTTAGAGGGTCACCTAGGAAATATTTTGTCTAAGTGGGGTTTTTTTCTGGGCAATTTTGACCAGTCAGCTTAGCTTTGTTTATTTAGCTTATCTTTTCATATCTCTCTTCTTCTCTAAAAGTAGGCATGTAAGCATTGTTTTATTATATTTCAAGCTTCTGGATTCTCATGTATTTTTTCATGATTTCTAAGAGGTAACGGCTGAGATTCCAACCCAGGGTAGTAAATTTAACAGTTTAACAATTGCTGTAATTTAAAACGGGTTGACTTCTCTATAAATTCTGTCTTTTAGTTCACTATTTTTGCTTTTGTTCTTGCTCCCGTTCTGCTCATGTTGTGCTTGCCATCTGATTGCAGCTGACCCCTTTGTGAAGAAATTAAGCAAAAAGGCACATAACACTTGTGTTTTCTTGGCATTGTCCATTTTCTTTCTCACTGCGTATTGGAATAACTTCTTTGTGGCTGCTTTTCTTTTTACTAATGTATCTATGGAATTGTGGATTTTGTTCTTTACATACATTACCTTTTCTCATTTCGTAATGTGACCTTTCTCAGTTTGTTTCTGTATGAGTGTGCTGCTGTTACACTTGTCCTTGATAATTTGATCTTGTTCATTTTTTCCTAATTACTCTTCCATTTTGAATCATCAAAGCATTTGTGAATTGACAGCTGGTCTCTTACTATATATACATCCTACTATCTTCTGTGTTAAGATAGTGTGTATTTATGTACTGATGCTGCTTCTCAAAGAAGTGCTTAGTTGTCCTGACTTCTTTCTACCAGAATTTGATTCTGGGAAGAAGAAATCTCTCAGCTAAAGAAAGTATACTTCAGTAAACACAGTGAAGTCCATTGGCTTTGTTCACTGTTCTTTTTACACTTACTAAGAATGACTGATTGTCATTTTGTGAACACAGTCAATTACTTTGCCTTCCATCTTCGCATTCTGTCAGCTAGTTTATTTCTACATTAAAAACAAACAAACAAAACAAAACTGAATTTCAAGAACTGGCTGAACATTCTGCTGTATTGCAGAGTCTGAAGAATTGACGAGTTCCTTCAAAGCATGTACTTAGGACAGATTCCCTTTATTCTTAGGAGGACTCGAAGAAGTTCTTAGATGAATTCCATGAATTTTGAAGCCCCTTCCTCCTTGAATTGCAACCCTTAGTTGTTCTTCTGTATAACTGATGTGAGCTGGAGTTTCCTCATTACACTTTTTTTTTTAGTTGCAATGTTTCTTTAGTTTAGTCATTATGTATTTTGTATTTCCATGTTTAGGTTTAGTATTGTTGAGATGTGTGTGACTTCTTTCCTTCTGAAGGCCCTCTTTTACCTTTATAACATCAGAACCTCTGAAGTTAAGTCTTACTTTGCCTGTTAGGATGTAATTTGGGGTGGAAGGAGAAGGAACAAATGCCTACTAGATATTGCAATGATGAATCTCAAACATGTTAATATTCACTCTGTTGAAGTTTTAAGTCTTAGGTAAGAAGGGAGTGCTAGAAGAAACCTCAAAACCTGTTCTTCTACGTATTTTTATAAAAAATTCTGTTCTCTTCCACAAAAGTAGTCTGCTTCAAAATGAGAGAGGCAGCTAACGTCAGCAGATCCTTTTCACAAAACTTTCAGGTTATGGTTTGTATCTGACTCAACAACATCTGAGTATACTCGTTTCCCTTTATAATCAGTGAAGACAGTGAGCTACTCTTCTGAAAGGTGGATAACTGCACAATTACCTAATTAATTAGCTAACTTAATCCCTAGAGGTGTCCTCTTCTCTCAACAAGGCAGAAAGGAAACCTAGCTTAGTTGTAGGTGCCTACTTCTAGTGAAATTCATCTTCATTCTGCCATTTACCCTTTCCATAGACCATTACTGCATTTCTTTTTAAGTACTGAGAGTCAAACCTGCATTAGCAGTAGGGAAGTATTGCTCTAGAGATCAAGAAAAAGTAGGAAAGGGATTCTGTCAATGAATGTAGAGTTCAACTTTGTTTTTTCACGTGCCAAGTCAAAGATTGATTCTTATGATGCCTGTAGAGCCTGTGTTGCTTGAATCAAGAAACTGCCTCTGAATGAGCAGAGTGCTTCCCTCTGTTGTTTGCATCTGTGGAGTAGAGGTTGTGACAGATATGTTTTTATGTAAAGTACCCATGTACTGTGTGTGTGACAGTACCTTGGCTGAAGTAGGGCTTATTGTTATTTTAGTCTCAGAAATGCCTGCTTGTAGTACCCAAAATCAGCTATGTGGTGCAGTCTTTAAAGACTCTTTCTTTGAGTAGAAGCTGTAGTTATTTGTGATCTCTTAACCCCAGAGTTCCTCACCCTGCTGTAAAACTGCTTCCTGAGTACCAGAACTGCTTCTCTGCTCAGATGCTGAAATTTTTGAGCTCCATGGCATTCCATTGCAGTGCTAATGAAATGAGGTACTTGCTAAATGCAGTAGCCCCGGAGAAGCAGCTCATTGTGCCTTTGTAGATTAGACTACAGTTAAAACAGTTTGCGTGTGTGACACTTCACGTGTAACCATTAGAAAGAATTTCTTGTTTTTGTGGTAGCTTGGAAAAGAGTGGCCAGTAATGATAGAGCTCTAGCTAAGGATGATAAATCTGTGTAAATATTGGTAATTAACCTTTGCAGATGATGAATTATGGAAACTATGTGAAGCTTCTGCCATTCTAATTAATCTGGCTAAAACATCTAGCAAATAGGGAGATTTCTAATGTCTCTGAGAATAGAAAATGACTGTAATAAAGGGACAAATGCCAGCATATTGCAGGAGGTGCCTTATGCTTTTTAAGTCTGTGTATCCAGATCTTGACTGATAGAAAACATTATGACATTAAATGCTGTATATTTTCAAAATTCGAATTTAAAGTTAGATTTCTAACTTTACCTTTAAATGTATAAACCTAATGTTATGGCATGCTTTAATTTGACAGGTAAGGAAGGACATAATTTTTCTATATTCTGGGTGCTGGTGAGTGTTATCCTAGGTGCGATAGCCATGCTGTGCAAAGAACAAGGAATTACAATACTGGTAAGAATCCTTTTATTGACTGAATTTTGACCTCAGCATCTGTCAGGTGCAGTTGTAAAGCCTACAAAGATGAATCTTTGTAATCGCATGCACACCTTTTTGTTCTGTTCAGAAAACTAGTTAACATTGACAAAAAACAGTATTCTAATAGATCTGTCTTGATTGTATCCCTGCCAATCTGTTGGAATTCTTCATTTTATCTTTTGTAAGCAGGTTGCATATTGTTAATTTTTTGCAAAATTTAAAAGATTTACAGTGTTAGTTTCAATTCATATCACATTTGCTGGCCTTGTTTTTGAATGTAATTGTTGAGATAGCAGGCCTACAAACCTCTTGTTAAAGGCTTATGAACAAAGATACAACTGGAGGAGAGTATTTTTGAAAGCTCCACCCTCTTGCTTTTGTGAACAGTGTAACTGGAAGTAGGGCCATTGTTTATGCATTTCTAATACTGAATCTCTTCCTTCTGTCCCTTATTTAAGGATCTGTCTATGCAAGCATATAAAGTTACTGTTCATGTTCATTATGCTCTTGTTTTTTATTACTTCAGTGAAGACATTCTGGTTTGGGTGACCAAATCAGCCACCTGAAATGCTACATCTGTGATTTTTACCTTTCATATAGCCATATATCTTTATAAATAAATCTGGTTTATAGCTTTAACCGACATAGGTAAAGAAACAGAATCAGAAGAATTCTTTGCGGCAAAGACTCTCTTGTCCTTGCTAGAAAAAAAGGGAGAAGAAATTACAGAAAACTTCTTGCTTTAGGACAGTATTTTTTGATAGATATTTGCAGAGTGATGTATTTTCTCAAAGGTGTCTGTAAGGAAAACATGTTTTAAGAATTCTCTTAGAACATGGTGCAATTATTTCCTGTAGTGGTGTGGAGTAATTATTTGAGCTAGCAGACACAGAATTGTTATTGTATCTGGGATTTTTATTTGTTTTCTGTTGCATTGCTAGGACGATTATGTTTATTGTTGTACTGAGGGGCACAGGTCAGAGGGATGAAGGGATAAACCACACATTAAAAAGATTGCTTGTAGGCTGAATGTATTTTTCAGCAGGGTCCGTG